AGCATCGACCGGAACGATCTTTAGTCTCCGGTTACTACCACCGTCGTCGTTCTTCGCCTCTGAATCGAATCTGATGGCAGAATTGACTCAATCCGATCTAGTTTACTCGCCTCAACTGTGGAATGTTTTGTTGAACTGGCTCGATTTTTTCTACCAATTCTTTCTTAAGATCCTTCGTGCCGTCGCTCAAAATCCTCTTCTCTATACTTCCTCTTCTACGAAAGCCATCGCCGATGGTTTTAAACCCTTGCCAGTCATCGAGTTACCGGAGATTACGGCGCATTCACCCGTCTCCGTCGAAATCGCCTCCGCGAGAATCTCCAACGAAGGAGGCGAAGTCAGTAGAACCCAGAGACTCACGGTATACTCTTCTTCTTCTTCTCGATTGCCCAAAGTTTTGTTTGAAGGTTGAAGAAAACTGTTATCATTTTGAGAATCGTCGGATTGTGGAATTCGGAATCTGTGAATTTGGATTTGCTTGTTCCCTTATCAAAGCTTAGTTTGCATCGTTCATAATCAAATGCAATTTCTGAATTATTTGCAGAATTGTGTATCCATTTCACATTTTTGTTTGTGAGATAAAGCTTTGACCCATTGGCCATTGGTATGCAGGCTGTAGATTCTGATATGAGTATAAGTACGCGTCTCTGTAAGTAATTCTATGGTCTAGTCACCTTGAATTGAGTCGTCAAATATAGTGTAACTCCCGGTTCTGTTTCGGGGTCGACGTTCTTGTATATGATCGTAACATCTCTTTGCATCTAATGTATATATATCTACATTAGTCTATTAGAACATTTAGTTGGTTTCTAAGAGAATTCTCATACTATCACTCAGGTTGAAGTAACTAATGTGAGTGATAGATCTTTAATTTCTTACTTAGGTTCATCACTGATCTGTCTCAGTGCTGCCGATCAATGGTCTTTCTGTTGGAAGTCAATGAGGAAAGTAGATTGGTAGTGTTTTGAGTAATCTGAGATCTGAAATTTGCAGGTAGTTCTCGACTTGGATGAGACACTAGTGAGTGCGTATGAGACGTCAAGTCTATCTGCTGCTTTACGTACACAAGCCATTGAAGCTGGGTTGAAGTGGTTTGAGCTCGACTGCATAACATCAACCAAGGTTTTTCCTACATAGCAAATGCTTCTTCCGCTCTTGATTTCAGTTAATTTTCATTCGTTGATGTGCAAATAATATCACTTCTCTGCCTGAAGGAATGCAACGGGAAGCCTAAAATCAATTATGTTACAGTGTTTGAGCGTCCAGGGTTGCACGAATTCTTAGAGCAACTCAGCCAATTTGCACATATTATTCTTTTTACCGCTGGTCTCGAAGGTTCTCTTGAGTTACTTACTTCTTCTCAGTTTTTATCATTCTCTGTGTTGGGTCAAGTGCTTTAACATATTCCTCACATCTGCAGATTATGCTAGACCGCTCGTGGACAGGATAGATACCAAGCATGTATTAAGAGACCGGCTTTATCGACCTTCTACAGTCAGCACGTAAGTCATCTTCAATAGATGATTCTGATCTGTTTTTCAATTGTTGGATATTGTGATGTATATTGTATATTCTCTGCATTTCATATTCACATCAGGCAATATGGAAATCATGTGAAGGATCTGTTATCCGCATCGAAGAATATGTGTAGGACAGTGATCGTCGACAACAATCCTTACAGCTTTGTTTTACAACCTCTAAACGGTATTCCATGTGTTCCGTTTTCCGCAGAACAGCCAAAGGATACTCAGGTATTCAAATCTAAACTCATTTGTTCATATAATCTCGATATAACATTATATCATCCCTTGGGAATCTAATGAGACCAAAACCATATTGAAGCTTCTGGACATTATTCTTCCATTGCTTAAGCAACTTTCATCTGAAGAAGATGTAAGACCAGCTCTTTACGATAGATTTCACATGCCTGAATGGTTTGAAAAGCATGGAATACCGCGGTCGTGCTGGACATCGTCACAAGTCCCTGAACCCGAAATAGTTGGGAATCTCTCATAGCTCACAACTTTGGGATAGTGTTGATAGGTCTGATTAGACCAATTGTTTCATGGACCGACTTAATTTAGATTTGTCTGGATTTGACCTGACTGTTTTATATGTTTTGAATGAAAAATCCGATCTGGTCTATATAACATAAATTCTTTAGGAAGCTTACTTAAGACCTGTCAAAGACTCAAACATGTCTGTTTTTGCTTTGCATTTATGGTTAACCTGCGGGTTGGTCTACATGGCCAAGGAGTTAAATCCAACTATTTTAAATCTTGAAAACTTCCATAATTAACTCAACAAAAAATCCATGATTAGAACACACAAACAAAGTCGATAAACACACAAAAGAAGCACTCAACCAAAAAAACCCTAATAGAATCCTTCAATGCAGCCTCCTACTTAGCTATTTCATTAAAAACAAAGAACCCTAATTTGGATTCTAGACGAAGACAGCCTTCATGATCCTCTTACTCAGCGGTTTGGTTATAGAATCAAACCTAGTGGAGTGAATAGCGAAGCAAATCTTGCGAGTCTCTATGTGCCTAAACATCGAAATAGTTAGAAAATCGCAATGCTTCTTAAGATCAGATTTCGCCACAAACTCTTTCCATCCAGAAGTCAACACAGGTGTGTCTACACTCCACATCTTGAACTTCATCTCTTGAACCACCCCGTCTGGTCCGTAAACCGAAACATCAAGCCCTTCTGTCCCGTGACTAATGCGACGATTCTCTGAGTCGTTCAAAAGAGGAAGCATCCTCGTCTTCACTTGTAACTTACATAACATTAGCCTGCTTTGATCATCCTTTATGTCGCTTTCCCTCAACTGCTTCCTTATCGGTTCGCTGAATCCCTCAGAAACACCGATGCATATCTCTCCAAAATCGGGCATAATTTTGTTCCATTCCAACAATTTAATCAGGTTTTCTTCGGAATCGTCTTCCTCCACAGGTTTTCTCGTCAATGGCTGCATATACTGAACTTTTTCAGCTTTCCTCTTCTTAGAGTGAAATTGATGAGCTTCGCTTGCTTGTAACGCAACCTCATGATCTCTAGGGATTTCTTTTGGTAACTGTTTTTGATAATGGTTTCTTAGTTCTAATAATATGTACGCAGCTTCTACATCTGATATTGAATTCCTCATGATCTCTCTCACCTTTTCTCTAACTTTCTGTTTCTATGTTGTTGTTTCGTTGCCTTACGCCACAATGTTGCTATTAGGGTTTTTCTTTTCTTCCCTTTTTTAAATGCATCAAGTGAATAAATTTCCTTTTATAAGTCACTTTGGTTATTTTTTTTCCAGGGAAATAGGCATATATATTAGGTTTGTTACCTATAATTAATTATTTAACATGACCTAAAACATAATTAGGTGTCTAACAATTATTATACTTAGAATTCCAGAATTACCCTTTTTCTATTTACCAAACATTTTTTGTAACTTTGATATTTAAAAAAATAATAAATGTCTTAAGTATTAGAAAAACCTAAACCTTAATCTTATTCTTCTTTTCTCCTTTCTCCTGGCCGTTG